AGCGCCTTGTGTTATTTTTAACAGACAGAGAATCAGCACTTTGGAAACAGGGCTGAAACAGAGGGGATTATGGGTAATGCTGCAATGATCTGTTTGGTGTTTGGAGCCAAACACTTCAGAGACATGTTTTGTATATTATCTGAGACCTATAATATATTGATGAAAACAGTATGATAGGGGAGCTTTTAAAGACTTGATCAAACCACCTTGAGGCTGCTTTACGGTCCACTAATGTAAGCCTAGAGCCTGATCGTTTTTCTTTCTTTGTTTTAGGTTCGCATACAGACGGTCCAAGCGCAGCAGCTCCAGCAGCGCATGGCAACAGGCTCCCCGAAATCTGTTTCCACAGTTGTAGTCACGACAGCACCTTCACCCAAATGTGCCCCCGACCCCCCTCCTGCACCCAAACAGTGATGGTTGGTTGTTCAACATGATTTTACTTGTTTGTTCTCTCGCAAGTGTATTTGTAACATTGTATATTATCATTACAATTTGGATAATACTCACAAAGCCAGAAACATTGCTTTTTTCTTTTAAGGATTTTGACTTGCGTTCAGTCTAACCCTTTCTCTGTTGAAGCGCGTTAAACTCTTCACAGTCACTATGAACAGTATGTTAAAAATGGCCACATTGTTTCAACAAAAATGTAAACAATGGAAAACGTGTGACTATGCTGCTCCAACCATGCAGGCTTCAGTCTTTCCTTTCCAGCAGCTTAATGTACACAAGACCAGTTGCTCTGTTAATATTTTATGACCTAAATACAGCCTCTCATCACAACTCATTCATTCATATTAAAGTACACATTGTAAATTCTAATTGACTGTCAATAGGATTTTCTCTGTCATTTTGTTTGATGTAAAGCAATATTATCAAATGTGAAGTGGAAATTTGTCTGATTTATTTGGATGTTGTGATTTTTGTTTTAATACATTATTTGTTCTCCTATCAGGTGTGCATTCTTTTGATAGCAGGCCATACACCCATACATTTCTGCAACTTTTACTTTTCTGTTTTTAAAGGAACTTTTCTGTTTTTAACGGAACAACAGATCATATCATATATACAGAATTTGGGTTTTATCTTTAGATTTCTTCCAAAAAAAGAAACTGAAATTACTTTGTGCAAAACTACAGACGCAGCCTCATAGACCGTCAACATTTAAAATGAAATCTAGTATAGTTAAACGAGTCATAACTATGCATTCAATCTTCATCCGGCTCTTCAAGCAAAGCTTTCTGGGAGCTCATTTTGGAGGATGTATTACACTTTGAATATACTGTATCTCATTAATAATCCCATGCAGGTTAACAACTGATGTGTGACTCTGTCCTCTGCATATTGACCACTAGGTGTCACTCTTGGTCCAGTCTTACAGGCTCACTGACATGCTGCTACACCTATAATATAATCAGCCAACACTATATAAATGTAAACCCCTACATAAAATACCAGCTGTTGTAGACATGGACATAAAGAGAAATAATAATCATAACCTCAATGTTGTCTAACAAGGAATGAACGATGACATTTGTTGAAATCATATTAATGTAGCAGTAAACCTATATTTATCCAATCCTTTTTACACGTTTTTAGTGTTACAAAGGTACTATTGAAGACTAGGTTTAACCACAACAAACTTGATTATGTTGGCAGTGCAGCCGTATGGCGTAATGTAATGGTCTGACGTAGGGGTGGGCGATATTGAAAAATATTATCACGATATTTTTCAAGCAGTATCACGATAGACGATATATATCACGATATTTTTTCATGTCGGTTATTATGGTTATTTTTCAAGTTACTTAACAGTACAACCACCTACAAGGTAACAGAAACTAAAACAAAAAGGAGTAACAGACCAAAATAGCATTTCAAGCTGGTTTTATTTCTGAAATGAATCCCTGAATGAACAATTCAACATTTTGATATGGCTTCAAGGCACAGTTTCTCAGTATAAAAATGAACTTTCTGAGGTAGCACTAGCAGTGAACATCAATAAACATGAAAAGGAGGGTAAAACATAACTAAGTAAAACATAAAACATCAATGAGGAAAAGTCAGTGCCAAACAATTAAAATGTAAACTTTAGACTTGAAGTGCAATAAAAGACTTTAGCATAACTGAAGGGAAAAATTATATAAATACCTTATTGATCAAATAAAATATAAGTCAACAGAATCAAACAAGACAATAAATAAAGTGCAATACTGTCTAAATCCTGACTAGACAGCTTTAGAGCATGTCTTTCACATCAGTTTATTTTTTTATTATATATTTTTTCCAATTATTTTTTTTTTCTATTTTTTTTTTTTTATCACGATATATACGACATCTCTGAAAAAGCATATCATGGAGACCTAATATCGTCACGACAATATGACATCTGATGTTAATGTGCAGTTATTTGATTTCCATCCTCAAGTCTCCAGAACCGTGACTGCAGCGTGATTGTAAGGTAATTTCACTGAGTTTGAATTCACGGAGGTTAAATAATAATCGTCGTGACGATATATATCGTCATATCGCCCACCCCTAGTCTGACGAGGAGTTAAGAGCTGTCTCCACAAAATGCTATGGTCCCCAATACAAGAAAACTCTTTTTTTTATCAACAATATACCATACGTTATGTTGGTGACCAATTCCTTTTGATTATAGGAAATGGTCAGACATTTCTTCCACCAGTGCATGCTCCAAAAACGTCCAGCGTTACTGTTCCTCTCATACCAAAATAAATTGTATTTGACTTTCCTGTGCTGAAGTTTCTAAAGTTCCCACCTCCTGTCTTTGTCTTTTACTGAGACAGGTTGTCATTGTGTGTATGTGCATGTGTGTAAACCTTATTTTTCTTAGATTTGCCCCTTCTCTTGGAGATATGTGGGGTTAAATAGAAAGCATGTCGCAAGCAAACGGTGTGTGTTTTATGGATGATGAATGGGCATTAGCAATCCTGGCACGGACCCTATCAGATTGTATGCTTAGTTACTGGACCATTGTGTTAGTGTGGAAACAGAGGCATGTAAATAATGTCTGCACCCACAAACGATGAAAGAGATGATGGCAATGTAATACAATACCCTTATATACATCTGCACTGAAACCGCTAGATCACATTAGAGTTATACACGTGCATCATGGGTGTTAGTAATCAGTTTATCTTTAACTTGGGTTTGTTGTTGAAGGGTTTTTGTCTGCACATTACGATTCTATCAGTTAAACTCAGTTGAGAGATGTGATTTGCACGGGATGATGGGAAACCCCCATGAGAATAGAAAGGACAAATACTTCCTGTGAAAAAGGTTAAAAATGCAAGACAAACACAATTGGATAACCACCAAGCTGGTTCAGTGGGAGAACATGTAGCAGCCCTCTGAGAAGTCTTGTTGCTGAAGAACAAGAAGAAGAAGAAGAAGAAGAAGAAGAAGAAGAAGAAGAAGAAGAAGACCTATACTTTATTAATATCCAAGGGGAAACTCAGTGATCATAGTTGAAGTAGAAACATGCCAGTGAAAGTGTGCTTCCTTTTTAAAAATTGATAATTGGTGTGTCAGTTTGAATTGGCTTCATTCACGGAAACCCAAATGACGTCTGATGTTAATGTGTAGTTATTTGATTTCCATCCTCAAGTCTCCAGAACCGTGACTGCAGCGTGATTGTAAGGTAATTTTGACACTGAGTTTGAATTCACGGAGTTTAAATAAGGGATCATCTGATGCAGGACTTGCTTGGCATCACACATGAGGTTTCTGGTTAAATTAGAGATGAAGGTGTGGTAAAGAGTGATGATGGTTTGCAGGCGAGGAGACCGTTTTCCCAGGGGGTAAAAAGCCTTGAATGTGTCTGGCATGCATGGGGTCGTTGAGGATTAAAGGAAAGCTTGAAGGCAGGGGGATCGAGGGTCTTTGGGTTCTGGTTTCCAAACGAGCTGACTCAGCAGTACGATCATCTGCACTACACCACATCACATCGCCAATAGCTGAATCTCTGATGTTGATCCAGTAAGTTGCTAACAGACCCTCTCTTTATCTCAACCTTCTGCTCCCTGTGAGGAGATAATTCACTATAATATAAAAAAAACATTTGAGGTGGTTTGCGTGACTGAAGCTACAAGGGTGCAGTAGAGGGGCTTCCCAGGCTTGAGCGATTTGATCAGTGGAGGAAGATTTGATTCCACCATTCAATGCTTTTAATTCTCATTTTCTATACAGATAGGCTCAGCTATAATTAACTTTAGTATAAGACTGACAGTTAATATGAATGTGTGTTGATTTTGCTGACCACAAAAGCCTTCTGACCCATTTTTTTACGCACAGAAAATGCTCAATACAAAAGTGTTGAATAGTTTGTAAGTGAACCGCTTCCAAGGAGCAGATGCAGCCTGAATGCTTTCCTCAGATACAGCTTGACAGTTGAAGTTGTGCAGATATTATTGACACATTCAGCATATTTTCCCACGCAGTTCAGGAGCTTTAAGGTTTCATGTCTGCTTCTATGCGCTTTAATAAGGCTATAGTTTGAATAAACCACATCACAATTTTAAGTAAGTAAATAACATTTATTTATAAAGCGCTTTTCAAAGACATAATCAAAAAGTGCTTGACAAAACATTAAAACATCATAGGAATCATAAAAGAATAAATGACCACACAAGCCACGTGTTAAGAAGTGCTAAAAACACAATACACAATAAAAACATAGGATAAAAATAAAAGCACACAGGTTATACCCAAACGTCTTTAAATTACTTTTAAAAGAGTCAACAGTCACAATTGTACTAGTCCTTGCCCTGATGTTTTTTAATCTATTTTGACTTGTACAGTTACAGGACTGGCAATAGAAAATAAGCAAAGACATTCTTTTCTTGTCAATTGGTTTGAGCTCATTCATCTTTTCTTTTATCTACACCTCTTTTACCCTGGACAAAGGTCACGCCTCTGTGTTGGTTTTCCCCTGCTGGCAGGCTTGCCTTGCAGTGCAACAGATATGTGTCGGTAAAGTGATGTTATGATGATTTCACGCTCCCCACGTGCTATCTTTGTGTGCGCTATAAGTTATGTGTGTGCTTAGCTGGAAGTGTGTCAGAGGTCCAGGAGCTCTGTCCCTGACCTGTAATTACTGCCATTCCCTCCTATGCTCTTCACTATGAAAGGTTGAAATCACTTGTCATCTTTACTTGGATTTTCAACTCTCCCATAAACCCTTTTGGTCGGTTGTCCTTTGATCTTTTTTATTTATTTATCTGTACTTCATTATGAACACATTTCTCTACCTGTTTCGGTCCCATCTGGATCCCATGGCTTCTTGTGGTTACCCACTCCCTCCACAGATGTCTTCTCTCTGTCCTAACCGCCAATAATGTTGATTCCCCTGTCGGTCCTACCTCCCTCCTCCACATCCTCATTTTCTCTCAATTACTTGCCTAGCTTTTTATGTTTTGTTTCAAATATAGATCTTTGACTGCTGTTATTGGCACACGCCCCGACCACAGACCCCTCTTCTCTCCTGTGTAATCTCCAACCATCCTACCAACCAGAAGAGGTTTTATAGTCACTCCTTCACCACCCCCCCCCCCTGCATATCTACTGTAATGTGTCTCCTGCCTATCCACACACTTACAGCCACATCCAAGTGCCAGTATTTTCATTCAGTTCCTTGATTGCTTTTAGAAGTACTACCACATTTCACAGCAACACAGAACCACTTTCCAGGGTGGGCACACACACACTCTCACACACACACACACACACACACACACACACACGCACACGCACACGCAAACACATGCACACACGCACACACACAGGGCCTTCATTTTACATCTCTTTCCAAATTGTCAAAATATCAGGATTCATTGGGATCTCAGTAATACATTTATTATCATATACTGTGATTAGTACTATTGCTCTAATTTTTGTTAGCATGGAACAATGGAATAGCATGGA